CATAAAATCTCCACAAGAAATTGAGGTGTTGGAATATGTGATTAAAGTAAGCTCAGATGCTCACAAGGCTCTCATGCGAATGGTGAAACCAGGATTTGCAGAATTTCAAGCAGAAGCAGCTTTCATGCATTATGTATATTCTATAGGAGGCTGTAGACATGTGTCTTATACCTGTATTTGTGGATCTGGACACAATGCATCTATATTGCATTATGGACATGCTGGTGCTCCTAACAATAAAGTTATTAATGATGGTGATATGTGGTGAGTTTTTATATGAGTTTTGAAAATTTTTCTTTCTTTTTTCATAGAAAGTATTACTTTTTTTATGCATATATAATAAATTGAAAAAGATTTAAGAAATATCAGAAAAAAGTAAAATATAGATTAAATGGTACATAAAAAATTTTAATATCATATATTTTTTGCAAATTAATATTTTATTGTGTTGTTCAAGTCTTTTTGATATGGGTGCAAACTATTGTGGATATGCAGCTGATATTACATGCAGTTTTCCAGCTAATGGAAAATTTACAGAGGACCAAAAAATGGTATACAATGCGGTACTTGCCGCTCGCGATGCTGTGATGAATGCTGCAAAACCAAATGTTACTTGGACAGATATGCATCTTTTAGCAAACAAAACCATGTTAGCTTCACTAAAAAATGGTGGTCTCTTAGTAGGTGATGTTGAAAAAATGATAGAAGCAGGGTTGAATGAAGTTTTTCAACCTCATGGACTTGGACACCTTATGGGATTAGATGTCCATGATGTTGGTGGATATCTTCCAGGACATCCTGAACGTTCTTCAGCTCCAGGGTTAAGAAAATTAAGAACCAGTCGAATTTTGCAAGCTGGTATGGTTTTAACAATTGAGCCAGGATGTTATTTTATTGACTGTGTAAGTGCTGTTATTTTAATTTTGCAAATTTCTATAAAAGTTTTGTTAACATTAATCATTTTTAAAATGAGTGTATAGAAGTTGTTTTAATTTTACAATTAATTTTATTTACTTTTATATGTCTGCAATCGGTACAAGTAATTAATTAATCAATGTTAGTTACTAGATGCGGCTTTACAAAATCCAAATCAATCAAAATTCATCGTTGCTGAAGAATTAAAAAGATTCAGAGGTTGGGGTGGTATTAGAATCGAAGACGATGTCCTTATAACGGAAATTGGAGTAAGAAATTTGACAGACGTACCGCGCACGTGAGTTTCAACATATTAATTTTAAAATGTGAAAATAATATATACCTTTTTCTGATAATTAAGTTTTGAATTTGATATAATTTGAGATATTTAAAATTCATTAAGAATGTTATAACTATCAAGCAATTTTTACTTGATGTTTAAATTTGTATTTCTATCTATATAAAAAAGCATAAATACGCGTCTGTACAATTTGGTTACAGCGTCGAGGAAATAGAAAAATGGATAGCTGCTGGGAAAGATTAAACTTGACCACGGATGAAGGAACCAAATAATGAAAAAGATACGATACATCGCATAATATACGCGAGTGTTTAACTAACAATTTTATGCAAAGATCCACTATTTACATATTCTGTTCTTCCTGATATAAGAACAGTTGTGATACGACATATAACGTCATGAAATATTTTTACACGCATTTCGTATAGCGCATATAATGCAATATTCAATATCAAACAGGCTTAAATCACTTCTTCCTAAATTGTACGTAAAGAGAAACAAATAAAAGAATATTCTTTATTATATGTTCCGTCCTTAGACGGTTATAAATTAAGTCATTTGTCGTCTTGGCGTACAATTTTATGACAGGCACAAGTGTTTAGAAACTCAGGCCCTAAATTAAAAATACATAAAAATTATAAAAGTGGGAGCTAGTTCATAATTATTTATAATGTAAAATAAAGGATACGATATTACATGTACAAAAAATATTTAAAAAAGAGTACGAGGATGCGAACGCATGACAGCAAGCGTTGTAGTCAATCAGCTTAACCATTGGGCCATGACTCCTAACTTTATCTCTAGCTGAGCTGGTATGGTTGTCACTTGGCATGAATTGTTTTAAATCGTTATATCTTACAAATCGTTATTCATCTGGACGAATGGCTTGTTATATTTTCATTTTATATCAGGCCCTCTTAATCCTCAAATGATGATCCAAATCGGTTTTCCCCGGTTGTTGACCTTCCCTTGTTAGTATTGAAAATGTCACTGGCCTTCCACGTCGGGATTAAGGGTGGCCCTTGATGGCGAAAAGATGATGGCTCCACCTACATAAACTCTACAAAAGGACAGTTTTTCACTAAATAAAAGGAGTCGTAAACGAACTGTTAGATAAATCTGCACCTAAAGAAACGACAAACAGTTGTAAAGTTCTATTTACTAAAACCTTGTCAATTAAATTAAGAAGAGTGATAATGTTTTCTACTTCACTCCAAATATACTTCACCGTCATTAACTTAACGTTGGATGTCTAGATAGTACGCAAAATAGTACTGCTACACGCAGTATTAAAATTCAATTTTTTACATCAAACCATTATATATTTTACGTCAATATTTGTATATATTCAGGACGAATACAGGTCGATTACTTTTCTTCATAAGATAAAATATATATTGAAAATTGTTGGTTAATTATTATTTAAACATACAAGTATTATAACGCTTGGGTATTTCAATTTGTAGCGATTTTTTGTGAAGCGAAAGAAGGGAAGGGAGAGGGCACTGTTAAGCGTAACCTTGGATGTGATATCTTACATTTATTGAAAGGGAATACGAGCGCTGTTATTATCGGGTATGGTGTTACAGTCGTGGTCGCGGTGTGAACGTGTGCTCTTTACGATTATTTCGTGAACGTCAAGGAAGATGAAGAGATATAAATGTTAGTTTATTATAGCGTGCAGTTTTATTTTCTTTTAACAAATGGTTCTTCAGCAGTGGTATGTATGTTCTATATATTATTTATAATCATACATAAACACATATATTAATCATATCAATCATAGTTGAGTATATTTTTTGAAGAATACCCATGCATACCGAAATATCCAATAATATAATATAATATCCAATATTTTTGATCTTATATAAAAGGGGAAATTAAAAATTTTTGGTAAAAATGGAAATTGAGATTAAAACGATTACTTTTATTACAAATTAGTTTGTTTTTAATAATTTACAAAAACAAGTGCATTTTTGGGTCCTTAGAGTATATAAATGTATGTAACCCCTGTGCATATGTTTTACACATTAACACTAAATGAACCTAAAAGAACTGAAAGAACTGAAAGAACTTCTTGTTCTCGTGTATATAATCAACATCTGACTTAACGTAATTGACTTCCACGAAACTCTTGAATAGGAGTTTTTTGCACAGTGGCAAAAAGAGGAGAAGAAACAGCATTATTTATGGCTTTGCATTCTCGATTGCTCCGCTAGATCTTTTCCTCTATAGACAGACGCTAAACTCGTGATCAAGGATAAGGTGGTCGATGAAGCCGGAGCGTTTACGTCGATTTCCATTACGTAGAACAGCGGTGTGATTTTACGAACACGAGCTTTGACGCAACGCGAATGTACGGCAGCCAGCTGCATCACACAACCGGAACACACACATTCGACTTGTCACGAGGTTGCGATGTCAATGATTCGAGTCGTCGTGCAAGCGTTGACCACGTGTTTAGTAGGGGACCTATACACTGTGTCAATAAAATTATTATCATTAGCATTAGCACTAAAAATTATAATGTTCTTGAAAAACAATCGAAGCGATCATTATATATTATATAGGGTGACCCGTTTTAATTTTACCCTCTAAAAAAAATACCACTGAATAAAAAAACCCTCTTTTATTACCAACGTTAACTGACAGCCAGTTTAGTACTTCTCAAGATAGTCACCGAGTATCTGTAAACACTTGTTGCAACGAGGAATCAATTTACGAATTCTGTTCTCCAAAACTTTGTGTACGAAGCTTGCTAAATCGATTATGAGTCGTGCTATAATTATACATAAAAGGAAGAAAAAAAAAATAGACAATATCCAGATTACAGTAATAAATTATTAAAAGGAAAATTTTTTATTTTACGATCTTCATGAACATCTGGAAAAGTTTTTCTAATATTTTACGATGTCTCTATCAATCTTTGATAATTTCATATCTCTGATTGAACCGGTTTTGACTTGCTAACAAAAACCCTTACGTATCCTGTTTTATCGAAAGAGACACTATTTGAACTTGATTAGTAGGTGGCATCAATTTTTGTCCTCGGTGTATATGCGCCTCCAACATTTGCAGAGGCGCGTGACAGTCTGCGGGCAAAACTTATCTGTCTGACACGTGTCGAGCCCTGCAATGTACGCACTTCCATACATGTTCATAGCCTCCGCTCTAAAAACAAATCTGCTTGAAACAAAAAGTCTTTAGTGTGTGATATACGTAGAGCATGTAGGTGTAAATTCACTTAAAACCATTTGTTAGTGGAACATTAACCGTCAGATGGCAGAAGAAAAATAAGAAAAGTGAAAATGTATTGAAATTCATTCACATTCATGTATTGAAACAAAATTCGGCACGAGGAATGTAGACAGTATTGTAACTATTTTTATACCATAATAAAATATATTTTGTAAAATTCGTAATAAACATATTAGTAATAAACGAATTTTTAAAATCGATTTTTCCAAAAACGGAGCCTCATATGATAAAATTTTATTCTACATTTCCGACCTACTTTTTCACGAGGAATTATATTTTCTTTTCAGTCGTACCACAATTTCGGATACAATTTATACATTTAGCATGCAGATAGAATAAAATGTAGACCCTTAAATATCGCGAAATAAGAAAAAAATGATCTCGTATAACTTTCGAAAGAATATTAAGGAAAAATTCAATATTCCGATGCAATTTCTTCATTCTGTTTCAGTTTCCATAAAACGCCTTAAGTACATTCAGGTGTCGATTACATTCGAATGACGAGCTCTTGGCTAAAATTCTCGTATCGTAAATTTCATTCTTTACATCATAAAATTCGACTTCTCCGATGATGTCATCCGAGGTGAACAGTCAAACTGGCTCGATCAACTAAAAATAGCGATTTCTGTTCCTCAGCTTCTTTAACTTTTCTTTTTTTACTTTCACATACTAATTTTGAACAATTGCTCGGCACTGTCCTCAAGTCCTTTTTGCGGGAACGTGGTATAATTGGTGTTCGAGACAGAACGCGTGACTCGGAGAATAAATCTTATCGGTTGTTTAAGTTCAAGTGAAAATCTAACGTACTTTATCTGGAATGATGCATTGAATTATGTAATAGGATAAAGTCCGTTGAAATGCTATTTTTGTTATTGTTTCGTTACTCCACCGATTGACAATGAGAATTTTACCATTGGTTCATTTAAGAAATTATGATTTTTAGAATGAAATGCTCCTGTAATTTCTTTTGTTTTTTAAACAATCATCGTTAATTGCAAATTTTTAATGTATTAATAATTTTATAATTAATTAATTAACAGTTGATCGTTCATTATTCCATACATCCATATTTCCAAAAAAATTGGGATAATATTTTTTTATGATAGATTGTTATTACACAACGGTTTGAGAAATGTTCCATTACTCCTCGGGTCTCGAGTGTGCTCTTAATAGGAACGAGATTTGGCGCCAATTTTGAATTCTTTCTACCTTCGAATCCTTAACTGTAGCATTTATCACTGCACGATTAATCTTTACAAAGCAACAGAAAAAGTATGCAAATTCGTGATTTTAAAAACAAACGAAATCAAAGTACAATTATCAATAAAAAACAGACGCGTGTGTATTATCAAAGATTTTTTATTTGTTTCAGAATCACTGAAAAAGGAATTCATAATTTATCATATTCGCAGAAATTTGGAAACTTCAAAAACTTGGAAAAACGTTCTAATATAAAATTCCGATGAATTGTAATCCGACGTTTATTAACGTTAAAGTGAGATAAAAATAGAAATCTGGCAAATGCACGATGAGAAAAGGGTGGAAGACGAAGAAGAGAGAAGAATAGCTAGAAAAGGGAAAAAGAATAATTTTCAACAGTATCGACATATATATATTTACTCCATACGCGATCCAAATTTACCTTACACGTGATTTACCACGGTTACCTCGGAAACGAAACGAAAAACGGAAGCAGTCGAGCGATTTCTATGAGCACGAATATAAGTGAGACACGCGTAGCGGGAACGCGATAATTCGAAGCAAACTCGCGACTAGTCATTGATCGGCCGCGTGACGCCGAGCGCCGCGACGCCCTCTCCTTTTCTTAACCCTAGCGCGTCCCTACCTGTGCTTCTTCACAATCGTGTCAGACATTTAAGCGTCACGTCGAAAACACGCCTCCCTCTTTCTCTCGCTCTCTCCTCTCTTCCCCCCAGTTTATTTCACTCTCTCTCTCTCTTTCATTCGCTCTTTTTATTCGTCGTTCATCGACTCGTCGTCGGCCGTCTCGCAGCCAAAGGAAAGAATTCGTCGCGTCTCGGTGTTTCTTCCAGAGCGGCGGTCTCTTCGCGTTTTCGCCGTGGACGAAACAGACATACAGAGAGAATACAGAAAAAGACGAGAGAGAGAAACTGGCGCACGCAAAATAGAGAGACACGCTTTTATTTTGCCACCCAAGTGAGAGACACCTTGTCATTTTTACAGAGGGAAGAACGAACGTTAGTGTTACTCCCCGTGTGAATGCTTTCTTGCGAGTTTCGCCGTTCAATTAGACCAGTGAGCACCAGACGGAATAATCGTGGTGACGAGAAGGACGTGGTTAACGAAGAAGAAAGAGTGCTGGTGCGTTGTTCAGTCTCGTGACAAGATGTGCGGTCGTGGCCAGTTGGAACGCGCGGACGAAACACTCGTCGTCGACTCGCCGGCGAGCATCGAGCTACATTTCTGAAGTTTTTGGGAAATTCATCTGAACCGAAAGAAATCTATCAGTATGTCTTAATTGCGTGAGGAGGATTCGTCGATTTGTTAGACGTGTGTGTCGCCGATGTGCTCATTGAATCGCTTTGTCTGAATGGGCAGGCGGTGAACGACCGTTTCTAGGTCGGTCGAGACCCACCGGAGCTTAATTGACGCGGTTCGAGGGATTCTAGGAGCGGGCCAGAGGAAATTGGGACATTGAACGCGCACCTTTTCCAATTCAAACACGATCCCTCCGCGAGCTCTGACGTCGTTTACACCCGTTTTTCCTCCCTCGTCGATTTTGTTCGTGTTCGTGAACGGTGTCCATATCGTTGTTTGCTACGTGAAAATCTGGAAACAGCGCGGGCCAAATTGGGTCAGCGGGGGACAGACAGCACACGAGCGGAATTTCAAACGGAGAAAGTTACCCGTTATACGAACGCAAACGGTTTTCCCCCATTGATCATTAAATACGAGATGTTCTGTTTCCAAACCCCGTTCACACGCGCTTCACGCGTGCTCGTGTCTTCTCTGTCATCCAGCAAGACGAAGACTTCATCTATGAGCATGATCCTACCAGTGAATAAATCTTCCTCAAACACCAAGTGTGATAGACGAGACTCAGAAGCAACCAGCGAGGGATCAGCCTCTTCCATCAGATACATCGATCAAGAGCCTTCGATTTCAGACAACAGCAGCACAGACAGCACTCTTCCAGACGTGAAGGCAGACTACCTGGATCCAGAATCCTTGTCTCCTGGACCAGAGACTACTCTAACGACGAATGGAATAGACGAAGAAAGTGATTACAGTAAGCTACTTGAAGACAACGATCCAACTCACCACGTGTCATCGTCCCCGAAGAAACGATCGTTCAGCAACAGACGGTGCAGAAAGTTGCTCCTCCGTCTGCGTTCAAGCGATTCCTCGAACTCTGCTAGCAACAAAGAGGGCTGCCTGTACCCTGTGTCTCCAGCTGGTGATTCAATCGAAACCGAGTCACCAAGTTCATTTGGTGAACAAGAGGATGAGAACGAGTATAAAACAGGGGACGAGAGCATTTTGCTGACCAAGTCCTCGCCGTCAGTGCTGATCGATTCCGCGGAGGAGGACGCGCTGAGGAACTCCAGGGTGACTGCTGTTTCAGAGAATGACATATCCTCGTTGCAGACGGTGTTCAGCGAGTCGGAAAATGTGTCGAACCAGGAGACGGAGACTGAGACCGAGGAAGGTTCCTCTTTACCACTGAGTCCAGCTGGTCCGTCCACAGGAGGTCTGTCCTCTTCTACGGTACCCTATTACAACTTCCTCTGCGTGAACGGAGGTGCAATGCGCCAGGAGATGACCAGCACTAGCTCTCCACAGTTGTCCTCGGACAGCAATCATAGGTCGAGTGCTGAGTCTACTCCAGCTGATGCTTGTAGCAGTTCGTTCAATGTAGAGAACAGCTCCAGGATAGATACTCTGAAGCCTGAAGGCTTGGATAGCTCGTTTTGCCTGCCAGCTGCGAGATCCTGTCCCAATTTGGAGAGACAGAGCGCTGGATGTTCGCCTGCTAGTGGATCCTCTGGGTCCAGTCCTAGTCCAGGACCTATTGGGCCTAGGTTCAAACCGATTGAAGAGGGGGATATTCAAGTGTGCTTTTTGAATCATACTAAGACACTTGTTAAGAAGATACTGTCGAGTAAATATCTAAGGAGATGGGAGACTCATCATTTGTATTTGAACGACACCTGTATCTCGTCCAAAACGGTGAGTTGTTTGGTGTGATAGATATGTTGTAATTAGAAATTTGGTTCGTTGTAATTTTCACTATTTCAGTCTTCCTTTCATTTAGATTCCATTGTAAAGTGTAACGATTAGGAAATTTAGAGATTTCGATTTTACCCTGTTTTTAATTGCTTTCGAACTGAATTTTAAGTTTAAACGAATCAGAGGAAAAATTGAAGAAACTGCTTCGATCGCGTCGACAAATTTTAATAACAGAAGGTTCAGAGAAAATCATAAATATGCATTTTGTTGGAAAGTATTTTGTACCATTTTACATTCGATGCCAAAGTACAATTTCCAATACCATAAACACATGATAAAGTATCGAGTGACATGATTAAAAATAAAAATTATCCAATCATCAAAAAAACCAGTTTTACTTTTTTGTATCGTTAATTAACTGTAAAAAATGTGTTATATTACTTACAAAGATTTTTACATTATGTGGAATTAATTAAACCAAATTTTTAATCATTTTCGAACGTACATTTATTTTATCGTTTATATCGAGAAATGCGTGTCAGCCTGTATTTCGTGGAAATCGAAATAATTCACTTTTAGTACGAATATATCAATCATTTTCTTTATCTAACATGCAACACTTTCCAACTATTCCTCTTCACAGGAATAAATCATTTGATTAAGGGAGAGATGTTATTCACATATTTTCCCAAGAATGCGTTGAAGGTGTCGAGTTTACATCGTGCAATTTGTTGCGCAGGTTTATTCATAGGCTATCAGTGAATAGTAAACCGGTGACGTTGGACATTTAATTAATTTTCTTGTATAGCATTTATAGTCTTTGAGTTTCTACAAATTCTAAATGACTGACAGAGTTACTTACGTACACCTCTAAATCTAATTTTTTCCCAAAGTAATCCATTTAGTAGTGTCTTTTAAGAATTGATATTTTAATAATTCGACAATTTCAATGACGATTATTATTTACGTATTATTAAGATTAATTACAAAAGTACAATGACAAATGTTCGACTGTGATAATGCAGCAAATCTTAATAATCTGAAATTGATAATACGTTGAGTTTACGTATTTGTTAGGCGTGAAACAGGAAACATTCTAATTGCGATAAGTTACATTGACGACGTATTGTGGTTTCCTGGTAGTTAAGTCTGCTGACGTTTCATCGAAAAATATTTTGTCCAAGCTTGAAAGGAAATATCCGTAGGCCTAAAATTAAAATCAGTACTTATTAAATGCTAGAAATATTTTAGGAAATTCCTGATAAAAATAGTATTGTATAAAAAATGAAAAAAGTTTGTTCCTTGTTAGGAAGTTGAAACTAGTATATGTACTTAGTCTAAGCTTACAAGAAAAGGAAATTCGTGATAAAAATAATCCCGTATAAAAAATTCAAAAGGTTTGCTGCTCCCGATTAAGAAATGTTAAATTCTAAGAAAGTATCAATGGATACGTTCGAAGATTACACAGTTGTTACTATCGAGGCTTCCAATTGTAAAGCCTTGCCTTCGCGAAATAAAAATACTCTGGAAGAAGTATTAATAAATATATCATATAATAATAATATCATTTATTATTCACTACAAACAATTAAATCGTAAAAATTGAGAAATTAATGGAAATTCAATGGGAATTCAATTCATGGAAATATAGTTTCATATTTTAATATCGTATTACAATAATAATTATTTGTAGCCACTGAAAACAATTAAATTACAATAATTGAGAAATTCAGTATGTATTTAGTTCGCAGTACATGGAGATAAAATTTCATTTGTCAATTTCGAATATTTTCCAAAAAATTTCCGCGGTGCAACGTAACTTTCGTTCGGTATACTTGAAACGATTCGTTCGGTAGATCCGATAATCAATTTCGATTGATCGATTTTCGCATGTACGTATCGATACTTTGTCGAGGAACGAAATATAACCAGGTCGTAACTCGTCGCTGTTGCACCGGGTGACCACAAAAAAAAAAAAAGAAAAAGAAAGAATGAATCGAGCGGCTTTTTTCACGATTCAAGCGTAATCTGAAGCGGTCGCGAGACGCATTCAGGGTCGGCTTTGACGTAAGTGAAGCATACGCATACGTGCACGCACATGCACCTCCCTTTTATCTGTTTTTCCCCGTACGTGTCCGGGAACGTATACGCGTGTTAGTGTGTATGCAGCACACGTCGCAGCTTTTTGCAATTACACGCGACACACGTCTGCGTTTTATGCAGGCAAATTGGGGTGACAAGAGTCGGTCGCCTTGGAATATTCACTTTTTAATGTTTACATTTTTACGGGATTAGCATTAGCTTGAAATTGTTTTTATTTCTTGTTAACCTGTTATTAAGTAAGAAGATTGATAACGGGAATAAGGGATCTAGAATTCGAATTAATTCTGTGATCTAGAAAATTCATAAAATTAGAGATAAGTGATCTAGAATTGTTTTTACAAACAAATAACCTTAATTGTTCGTGTTGAACTTGAATTTCCCATTGATTCGGATGGTCGAGAAAGACGTAGGGAGAATGGTAGAAATTATTTTAGCGTATGTTATTAAAAATTGAGAATTATTCGTTTATGTACTTAATATTTCATATTACGATTAATGTGACTTATTATTGAATTTTTCTGACAGGATATTATTCATCGTTATTGTATTTTTTGTTTCATCATCAGGTTTTTCTTATCAGCGTAATTATATCCTTTTTACTGTGGTATTTATTATTCTTCATTAGTATGCTAGTTTTCAGTACGATTTATTTATTGTCGAATTTTTTTTAACATAGATTGCTTGTTATTGGTTAATTAGGATTTAATTAAATATTTCATTAATATTGAATTAGAGAAAAATTACAACAGTATAGAAATCCTGATCCCGAGTTCCTAACTCGAACATTATAACAAAGAAAGTTTTACTTTGATCTGTTATGGATCATCAATGTTCAACTTGGTGCAGAACTTATTAAATTAGAATTTTTATGAAAGAATTGTGAAATTTTACCGATACCGACAGTTGGCAGGCCCTTTAATTTTATAAGTACCTCAATATACTAATTCGCAAAATTAAAAAAGCACACAATTGTAAATGTTTTAAATTGCAGG